GGGTAACAATGAGTGGGCGATGGGGCTGGGGAGATAAAGCTGCGGCTAGGAATGATTTGGTGGCCAAAGTAACAACGACGTTTGGCTCGAGGGGGAGGAGTTAGAGCCCATCATGTCACTAGGACATAGAACAACTGACGTGCCGATGGGCGGAGTGGGAAGCAGAGGGGGAGATTTTGGTTTAGTTAGGTTGAGCAGATACGACGATCTTTTGAATGAGTCGCAGGTTGTCCATGGACAGGAAGGCATGTCCGCGTTGAGCGGACAAACATGCACAACACTAATGAGGGCAGCTAGTCGGTTAGCGGTTGGAAAGCAGTAGAGGAATTCAAAGCTGCGCACTCGCTTCCTCCATGAATGCATGGAGCACAAGCTCAAGCTTGCTAATGCCGAGGAAGTGGGCAATCGACATTCTGGCAACCTAGACCCAGCAGAGGAAGTGTTGTACGTACTTCACTTTGAGGATGATCGGGGGATCAGTAAAATGGAACGAGAGGATGTTAGAGACTTGAACCTCTAACAGGGGGCGAGATTCGCAGGAGTAATCCACAAAATGCTTGACTTATAGGATGTGGAACACCAAGAAAGAAAGGGGAAACAGTGGTGTAGAAGTTCAGAAGGAGTTCTTGGAAGGATTCACCTGGTTGGGTCGTGAAGGTGTCCGCCAATGCTCTGGTTCATCCCGGTGGCACGGAGCATAGCACGGACGCCTGCGGCAAGATGTCAAGGGTGAGGGTGGCGCTCGGTGGGTGGGAGGGTGGCAGATGTTGTCTAGGTTTGTTAGCTTTGGTGGGTCGGCTGAGCCTCCCGGAGGGGACGCCAAAGGGCCCCATCCAGAATAATATTTAATTGTTTACTTGTCCAATATTGCTTCAAAAGTTTGTCACAATGATAATTATGGAACTTCTAATTTGGATCATTGGAAGATAAATATTGAGAGACAGAGAGAAAGGTTTCACGCCAAGACTAGAACAAAATAATTATTGCAACTAGTTGTTACTAATGAGTCTTTTTTTTGGGGGGAACTTGTTACTAATGAGTCCTAAGAGGACCGTGAGGTAGGGTTGTCACTTACAAACACGGCCTACTTTGCACATATAAAAACGTACACAAATTCCATGTAAATGTCATTCTTTTGTGACGGAGGAAGTATAGCTTAACCAACTAAGATCTTGTCTATCAAATGTAACACTTTCTTTATGCCATCGGCCATCGTTGAACAGTAACCTAGCTAAAGGAACAATTTAGATGCTATATGGATATTTATCAATACTTTAGCGTGAGGCGAAGAGTTTGACTTCTTTTTTTAAAAAAAAATATTGACCAATTCGTTGCAGTTGCAGAATTGAAAAGCAGGAGCGAGTAACTCAAGCCCTCAAGCTCATCCCCACGTTGCAATGCTGACATACGTTGCCTCCACATTGCGAAGCAAAACCTGCATTCTCGTGACTTGTGAAGCAACGCCTCATGAGCTATTGATGCAAAGCAATCACAATTAATTAATTCAAAAATCATAAGAGGGTGATCCAGCGGAACCTCGTATTGATTGAGGCCTTGCATTGCATAGGTGCTTGCATGCATGCATTTCTGATCACGCATGCATTCTAGCCGTCTACTCCAGCAGATTCGTCTGCCTGCACTGCATGTCTGCATGCCTCGAGCCCTGCCCCCTCCCTGTTTTTACCTATCTCTATGCATGAATTTGTCTGCCAGCATCTGCTCCTCTAGGCTCTATGTACTTTAAAGCCTTTACTAGCCTGAAACAGCATGCTGTAATACTATCATTATCAGGAGTGAAACACAAACGCATGCATGCTGCTCTGCCCCTCTCTCTGCACAGCGTCAGCTACGGTGCATGGGACGACAGCAACAGCAGTGTTTGCATTGACAAGTCACCAGAGCTAGTAGAGAGGCATGGCGCAGTCTGCCAAACCCTAGTTGTTTGATGACGAGATCCTATAAAACATGCATGTTGCGGCCAAAACAGGTCGATGAAATATCAGGGGCATCTTATTTTCTTTTCCTTTTACTTTCGGTCCCAAGAAAGTGTTTCGTGCACCTCTCAAATTCTACGAAGATTATATTCCAGTTGGCAACTACTTACGTGTCCTCTCACAAATGAAAAAACTATCACAACATTTTCATTTTTCAGGAAGAACAAAAGGTGAACTACCTTTAATTTGTAAAGTTTAAAGCATACATGTTAATTTAGGAGTCGCTGATGCCTTTTTACTAGCCAATCAATAATGCAAGAATTTGATATTGCCTGCCTTGACATAAGATTAAGAACACTGCAGCAAACGTCGTTCATGTGATGTGTTGTGCGGTTGCCATCTGAAAGTGCATGAACGGGTAAGCTACGATTGCATACAATAAGATTTTAACCACATTTAATCATTTAGATCACGCAAAGAGGAGATCATAAATCATAACCGATAAACATGTAGCACAGCGGAAGAAGAATTGGGGCAGCCTAGCCCAACGTGAAAGTAGAGGATCGCTCTCACACCTTGTGTTCGCCAAAGATCAATGCCGCAGTGGTAGCAATAGCATGCATCTCCACGATGTCCAAACATACATGGATAGAATGACATGCACCGATGTGCTAGCACTATGTGCTCCGCTAGGGTTTCATGCTGAGGTGAGAAGAGACGATACGCAGATAGCCATTATGCATGTTGGATCTTGAAATACAAGACATTACATACTTAATTCACTAATATGTGTTATTAGGCCTCATCAAGGACCAACACGGATAGTGTATATCTATGTCTACAAGCCGGTTCCGATATCTCATGTAAACAAGCCATCAGCCTCTTAGAAAGCTTCCATTCCAACTGGCAAGGTTTCCAGAATTACAACCAACAAATTTAGAATGCGGGCAGAGCTTCAAGAGTAGGAATTACAACATTTGGCTTATCTTCATCATCAGAAGAGTTGTTACTTGGATGATGCATGATGAGGAACCCTTTAGCCAGCACCATATGAAGTTATAATTAATTAACTCATGCCTGTGGCCATATGTATATATAGATCTGCCTTCGAGTGGTCAAGGCTAGCTCCCTAGTGGTACTTATTTGGACATGCCTTATTTGGAACTCCTTATAAATACCTAAAATAAAATGCTACCCTAGCAAACTCAATGTCGCCCAAAGAGTGAGCATGTGGTCTATATCTAGGAGTAAATGTGGCAAGTAAAAGGCTCTAGGAGGGAGATGAAGTTGGTAGATGAAGACGAAGAAGAGATGACCAGGGACATTTGAATGGATCTAGATGGTGCCGGTGAATTATATGGCATCTATTCTAGACAACACCTAATTCATTGTTTGATCTTGTGGACATATTCTTGTACTTAGCATATTTCACAAACACTGAAGGCACACTACACCATAATTCATCATATACTGAAGGCGTCTAGACTGGATGGTTTATCCGGGCCGGATTTCCCAATGGAATTGGACACTCCTGAGAGATGACATTGTACCAGCTGTTCAGCACTCACATTAACCAAATTATATCATTCTCAGACATAAAACATCACAAATTTGACTTGGATGGCATAGCTTATAGATCTTATTTATGGCAATTGGCACTTGTAGCAGGCATGCTATCTATACATGTTTACACAACCATTAAGTTCTGCTGCATATATCACACAAGTTTGCCTTTCACACCTAACAATTAACATGTTTAGCTTGTATAACCACAGTCTGTTTACAAGGTGTTGAATCTTTATATCATAAGCCCACAGCAAACTAAAGTTCAATGTCAAGTTACCTCTAGCTTGGTGGGTGGGGGCGGTGGGGTGGAGCTATCAATGGTCTAGATAGATCTTTACCACTAGCTGGAATATGACCCTAGAAATTAGCCAGTTACTTAGTGTCAACATAAATTATCACTTATGAGTTGCAATATAAAAATTGCCATTTAAGAAATATGCAACTCATAACAAAACTACAATTTCAACTGACCCTTCTTCAACTAGTGTGTAGACCTAAATCCTTAGCCACGACTGCTAATTGAAGAAAAACAAACCTAAGCTTATATCATCTTGCCACACTCCACATCGATGGTTAATGACGTCTACTTAATTATGTAACTGTACAGAACCATTAAAAATAGTTGAGACTTGACCACACAAAAAAATTAGTCTCCTAATTCATTATTTGCAAGGACATATCAAACTATTCTCTAATCGTATTCCACATGCTACTATGTCAGAAAAGGAGATCAGTGACACAGCTAGATAGTCATCAGCGATGCAGAAAAAACACGTCATTAATATTGCGTCTCTAATGTAAAAAAACCAGTGACGTGTATAGCCAAAAGGGAGTTGGTATTGAAAGTTCATAAGCCGCAACTGATTGTGTTCTGAATTTGACATGTCAATGAAGCAAAAATCGATCATGTTCTGTTTTAGAACCAAGCGTGCAGCTTGTTCTGTAGTAATGTTTTTACTTAAAATTATATATGTGACTAACTTTTATCCATAAATTCCTTATTGGAAACTTAAAATTTGGGGCATAATACAAACAAGATGATGAAAATGACACAACTGCTGATTTGCAGAGATAACACTAAGTACGTCAACATGATTTCACAACAAAAGGCTGATATTTCATCAAGAGATGTGCTCAGAGCCTCAGACTAATGATGCTTAGCGCATTAATTACTAAAGAAACAATCCTTGGGATCAAATATTTGCCATTTCAGGGGCTGTTCAGCTGGCTGGCCGGTGGCTGGCTGGCTGGGCAGCCCCCTCACGGATCACTGTTCACGTGAACAGTGATTTCAGCCGGAACAGTATTTTTCTCTCACACCGATCAGCTGGAACAGTATTTTTGCTTATTTTTCAGTCCTGCCGAACAGGCTCTCAATATATTACTACTAGTGCACAGATTTATTATTGGAGATATACAACAAAAGCATGCCAAGAGGGAGTAATTTTGCTCAAAACTTCGATAAATTGCTTCCCATATATGACAGATCGTCAATTACTGTCAAGAGAACCATTCTGTATCCCATCCTTCTATATCTCCAATGTCCATACTGCAATTTAGAGAAATATCCATAATTAGATAAATCAATTGCATATTACATGCATGCATCCCTATATATTCGTTCATTATTCCAACAGATACAATTTTGCATGTATGCCTCCTCCCATAAATATTTGGTTTGTATTTCTTTTTCAGTACTGGATAAAGTTATTGTGTGAAACAAATATGATGCACTTTACACACTACTTCATACTATAGTGGTCATTTCGATTCACTGTAATATAGATCACTGTACCTATGACATCCTACACGGCAAAAAAAAGAGATCCAACCTAGGAGTAACTAGGTGGTTTTTCATTAATTAATAAAAGAAATAGGCACCCAAATTCAGTCAAAGACGGAACTTGAATCTGGGTGGTTGGGTGCATTGCCACACCTCTCACCCAACTAGTTGAGCTAGCCTCACTTCCTATGATATCCTACACGGCAATGACTAAGCGATTCTACATCCTGTTTTCTTCTACAAAACGTGCTTCATATAGTTGGCTTGCAAACAAAAGTAGATGTGGATAAATCTTGCTGATTTTTCCCCCTAAGATAACTCGTTTTCACTACGAACTTTTACAACAACACTACTTACAAGCATATATAGTAGTGATGATAATACTTATAATACAACTATTATTCATTACTTACCGGGGCAAGGCCAAGGAGACATCTTCGTCCTGATGGTAGTAGTCATTCAAATGTATCCCAGGGAAGTCAGAGTTGCTTTCTTGGGTAGCCACATGGCCAAGGCTATCGCTAACCCAATCGGGCATGTCCACCAACGACGGATCCTCCGTCACGTTGGCAGCTCCTCCGGCCTCCTGATCGACTACTGTCCCGTTGCCTTTGTCTTCGATGCTCTCAAGGAGCTTGCTCCACCACGCTGACGTGACCAGGTTCATGGTATCGCTCCACTCAATGTCGTGCTGCTGCCCGATCGAGTAGATCGCCGCCATCTCCTCATCATCAAGCACTCGGTGCAACGATGGATCTGCTGCCAGTGAAGTGTTCTCCATGGTGACGGCGGACAGGTCGTGGCTCACCATAGTCACCAACGGAGAGGAGTAGACTGAGTAGGAGGAAGCTGGTGATGGTTGGAGTAATGGAGGATCAAAAGAACAAGTGCTGTTCTTGGTGTCATCACCGATGACAGAACTACTATTGAATCCCTGAAAGCTAAGGTTTAGACCTAGCGGCTGTGCAGGAAGAGGGACCAAGTGGTCATCTAAGTTATGCTCAGAACTATTGAGCATGGGCGGCGCAACTGGTGCGTCGTAAGTGATCATCAGTGGGGATGAAGAATAGCTACTAGGAGTAGGAGCAGTGAAATGTGAAAATGGAGAGTTGTACAAGTAATCTGAGTAGTAGGAAGCATAGCTCGGCGCAGACGAAGCTCCAGTTGCTGCTTGGCTTGGCTCTTGCACTAGATGATGAACCTCTTGTTGTCGCTGCAGCTGCAGCTCCATCAACTGTTGCTGCTGCTGCTGCTCTTTGGCTTGTCTCGTGGAGGCCCTATGGATCTTGAGAGCTGTGACAATCTCTCTCCTGGCCTCTGCCATGTTGAGCAGCCTCTCCTGGTACGGCCTGCTTGTGTGCAGCCTCCTCCTCACCTGCTTCTTGTGTGGCTGCTGCTGCTGCTGTGGTGGTGGTGCTGTTTGGGCCTGCTGCTGCAGGAGGTCGTCTTCTTGTGGTGGCTGGCTATGTGGCTTGCTGGTGCCCATGGTGCTGTGGTCTTTGGATCTTGCTGCAGATGAGGAGGAGCTGAGCTGCTTCACAAGGCTCCTAATGTAAGCTCCTGAGAGGTGTGGCTGCTCGGCCTTGTTGTTGCTCTTTGAGGAGGAGGAAGGGGTAGGAGCTAGCTTGTGGTGGTTCCTCATCTCTCGTCTTTGCTATAGCTATGGGATCAGGTTCTCTTTCTTGCTAAGGAAACAGCAAGAGATGTGTCGTCTGTGACAAGGTAGGGTGTGAACCAGGGTGATGGGGTGATATAAATAGGGTGGTACTAGGAAGCATATATATAGAGTTTGTTAGGATGCATTGTTATCCTTTTGGCAACGCATGTCGCATATATGGTCTTGTGGTAGTAGGTTGGCAGCTAGTGTAGCTAAAAAAGACAGCACACAACGTTGAGTCATCTTTTTGGTACTTGCGTACGTAGCATTGACTCTCGCTCGATCAGCAAGTCTCGTCGCAAGAAAAGAAAAAGAAGAAGAAGAAGAGGAGGAGGAGGAAGAAAAGACTCGCTGCTCAAGTCTGAAAAGCCCCCCACCCACCTATCAGGGATAGATGAATATAATATATACAGTAATGTACAAAATGACTTGGATTTCATGGTCAAGGTTTTGGATAGATTCCATTGGAAGGAGTTGAGGGATTCATATTCTTTTTGCTGGCGAAGTAAATTAATTAGAAATAGATGGACACCAAGAAAGCAAAACAAACAGCCAATATAAAATTATTAGAAGCTAGCTAGGAGTGTTAGTTGCACAAGTGGTGGAGTGCAGAAGTATATGTATATAGACACATTAGGCATGCGACACGGCCATATGCATGCATGGTTTTGGAATTCAAATATGGCCAACTCCTTTTGTTGTGCTGCTGCATGCACTTTCTGTAACGGACTTGATCGAGAAGGCGATAAGATTCACCAATCAGTGACATAAAGACAAGCAGGTGGCCTACAAAATAGACATAACTTAGATGTTGATGATTTCTTCTTCCATGACCGATCGATCGATTGGGATCGATAGAGATAAACAAGAGCGTTGAATATATCTTTAGCCGCAAGTGTAGTCCGTCCCATCTCTCCCTGTGCCCTACTCACCCATAGAATGATTGGCTACGCGTACAGAGAGCATGGTCGTCGTCGTCGTCGTCTCTCTCTCTCTCTCTCTCTCTCTCTCTCTCTCTGGGCATGCATGCAAGTCTACTCGTACTAGTGAATTTTGGTCGAACGAACAAGCTAGCATCAATTTTGAGGGCCGAAAAAGGAGCTGCCGGCTGGTCGCAGCTAGATAGAGTCGTCCATTATTCATTCATTGCATGAAGGACCGACTACGTACATATCCAAAACTGAACACAGAAGCGGCGCCCGGCCACATACATTATTGCAAGAGACTGAACCTTTGATTCCGTTGGAATATTCAAATTAACCACTAGTGCATGATAAATAACGGGGTGTTTCGTTCCAACTTTACTTTGAGCCCCCTTTGGAACGCATGATTTTTTTTTCTTGATCCCGTGTTTTTTCTATGAAAAATAGATAATGGGGTGTTTTTCCTATGGAACATTCCTTTAAAAATTCCTATGTTCCAAAAGGATCTTGAAAGGATCAATCCTGGGTTTTGGTTGAATTAGAGCTTGTGAGGCACATCTCCACAATTCACCATGCATATATATATGCATGGATTAAGCTTATTCAAGCTAGAATTAGATGATTTATCACGTCCACCATAGTACTCCACTGTTTTAACTAAAAAAACTCACTTAATTTCGTGCATATATTGTTTTTTTTTTGAGCGGTTATATATAAGCATGATATGATACATTGATACATGTATTGCATTTCATCGCGGTCGTCTGTAGGTGTGGAGCTAGCTTATTATCTATGGTGATCAAATGGTGGCTGCATCTTTCTTGGCCCCGGTCTACATGATTCAATGCCGTGATGTGTGATCAAATGGTCCGACGTACGGCGTCCTATTCATTTACTAGAGACCGATCATCATGGATGGTGTATAGACGACGGTGGCGCAAATTAAAAAGTGAATGGCCGTTAGTTGGCTTCATGTTGTCATGAGATCATCGCAGCGTCAATTCAATGCCTAGCGCAGTTAGTCCTGATTGCTACCACTATTCTCTTCAACAGTCGTACGTGTACTGCGTTCTCCCGATCCCTGCGTTGGTCGTCGTTGCTCTCGTAGCCTCGAGTCAAGCAATTAGATCGTCCAGCCAAAGTTTGTGCTCTCCTTGTTGCAGCCACTCGCACCTAAATAGTTTGATCTCCAATACAAACAAAGAAAAACTATAGAAAATTATTGGTTTGGTCTCCAAATAAATTGGAAAGAAACAATACCTAATAAATAATATACGTTACAACAGAACGTAGTATATTGCAATGGAACATATAGTTTGTTGTGCGGTGCTCGTGTCAATAATAATGAGCTAGCTTTTGTTAAATTCAATTGGGCTTGGCTACTACTACATAACTAATTTTATGAGATAGTCTTATTTATTTACAGAGACGGTCTAAAATTGCCCATGTCTCCTAAAATGTCCAGTCAACTTCAAGGGCGACAGACACTCAATTTACAAAGATGGTCTAAATTCAACTGTCCCTATAAATCTATTTACATAGGTAGACCACTCAAGAGGGCCATCTCTAAAAATAGAGCCTATTTTCAAAGCAAAAGTTCCTTGAGATGCTTGCCTTAGGAAATAGGGCCAAAAGCCTACATGCCCAATGCCTATAAGGAAAATGGCACCTTGCATGGGCTATTAAGTTGATTTTGGTGTTTAATGAACAATATAACCATTTGGACTAACAATGTTTGCTAGTATACAAGGAAAAGTCCAAATGGGTGCAAAGTGGACTTGGACTTAGGCAACATGGAGTTCAGCGTGATCGACACCTCAAGTAAGACATTAAAAGCTATGTTGAAGACCTACAAGTGATGCAAAGAGTCGAAGACACAAGGTGGAACCAAGCCAAAAAATGACGCTAAGAAAACAAGTGAAACACTGTTGTTTTCATACCACTAGAAAGGTCTGGTGTGATCCAGGCGGGCACCAAAAAGAAGCGGCCAATACAAGAAGACAGACTCAACAGATTCACCGGAATTATCCGGTGTACCGAAAAAAGGCAGCACCGGATCAGAGTATGCGGTACAAAGTCGTGAAGAGCCCGTAGCCGTTGGATGCTTGATCTTAAGTTGGATCATTTTACCCCTGTGGTTAAGTGGTTCAACCAAAATATCTAAGGGTATGTTAGGCGTTATGTAATAGCTCTATAAATAAGAGGATGGCTGCTCCTAACCAGCCTATATATCTCTCCAATTTTCATTTTCAGGCTTAGGTCTTCCCAGTCTCTAGTTCAGTCTTCTAGCTGTTGAGATCCACAATGAGAGAATCAGACCTCTGATGTGTTAATCATTCCTCTGTAAGAACCGGACCTCGTTTGGTGAAGAAATAAAGCAATCATTCATGAGATCTGAGTTCTTGATTTGAGTCTTTGAATTGATTCGGTTTTTCCTCTCTCTAACCCCCTTCTCTTAGCTTTTGGGTGATTTTGTTTTTTGGAGGACTTGGGACTGATTGAGATGGTTTACATGCTATGACACATGAGGAACATATCAGCAAGTCGATTTGACCAGATTCCTCACCAGCACAAGATTAGGGGATTTTGAGGAAAGTTTGGAAAACCCCGATCCATTCTATGGCTTTCTCAATATAAGAAGTTCCCTTGGTCTTTTAGCTTTGATCTTCTGGGATATCTTCCTGATCTCCTTCTACCTCCGTGCCAAATTTCATCTTATTTGGAGTTCGTTTGAGGTGATTTGGCCTTTTGGGGAGAAAATTTCGGGCTGCTAAATTTGTAAAAGTGGGCCAAGCCGGATTTGGGTAGGCTAGGCAGGGTTCATCCTGGATAGGCCAACTTTTATAGTAGCAACCTGGCTCTTTGCATCCTGTCCAAGCCAACTTTGCCTTAGTAGTCCGTCTTTGTTTGTTTCGGGAATCCATTTTACAAACCGTTGGTTTCGTGGGTTTGTAGTAGTGCCCAAGAACCTTTCTAAGTCCTCAAGTCACCAGTTGGATCTGGGGATTTGTATTTATTCTCTTGGTTCATTTTCGTTGATGTTGAGAACACCACGTCGGTATTCATGGAGTTTTGGTGTTACGCTTGGTTTTCCGCTGAGGTGAGTGTCCCGTTGTGTTCTCTGGTCATCACCGAGAACATCCAGCCACCAATTCGCTTGAGGACATCACCTGTGTGAGTTCTGGTGTTTTAGAGGGTTGTTTGGGACAACAGCCATTTCAGAAGAAATTTTGATCGGCTCCCATTCACCCCTCCCCATCTGATCACCTTTCTGGGTCCTTTAGTTCCTACGCAGCTCTAGGATGGGCCACTGCGCTACCGCGCCTGCGTGGACCATCATATTGGGACGAGTCATCGTAGTGTCGCTCCTACAATGCGCCGACACCGTACCGTCACTTGAGATCCAAACTCTAACTCCTGTGGTGAGAGAGGGGGATGGGGAGGGCGTCTGAGAAGAGAAAGCGACCATCATATTGGGTCTGGTGGGATTCAGGCTTATTTCTAGAGGCGGCTCTCTTAAAGGGTCTACCTGTAAAAATGGTCTCCATCTCGAGCTCGCTACCACGGTCGCCGCCGGCACCCCGAAGATGGAGACGCTGTGGATCCCACGGCGCCCCCATGCCACCGCCAGATGTTCACGAGGAGGTGTTGCTGCCCTGCGAGGAAGTTGGCGTGCGCGAACTCCCACCAGTCACGACGGCGGCGGTCCGAGTGTTGAAGCCGAGTTGGCCACGGCTGCTGCGCGCGAGCGGGGTGAAGCGAGCAGTGCCGCTCGTACATCGCGTGCGGTGGATGAGGAAGGATAGTTCGAAGCAGGAGAGGGGTATTTTTGACATCTCCACTGTCTGGGTCCACATGTCAGAGCTGACAAACAGCAAAAAAAAAACAATGGAAGATAGACGGAATGACATAGATGACAAAAAAATTTCGACCAGTGGTACATGTGACCGCTCAAACTTTTTAATGGCTTGAGAGTAATTATAAACTTTTATAACCCTACTAGAAAAAACTGCAACAGCGCACGTAACAGGCAGCGCATCGTTGACCCAACAACTGACAGCT